ATATTTTCGGATTTCGCTAGATTTGAGACTTCCTGATAAATAGGAGACTCACTTCCGGCATTGGTTTTCTTCAGAGAAACGTGTTCCTTCATCTCGTTAGATACTGTCGTGCTGAAATTAACGGCGAGAGTTAATTTCGGCGTTGATCTTTGATAATTAGAATTCTGCAGTCCCGAGATGCTAGTGGTGGCAGAAATTGAATTCGTCGTAATTGATTTCGTTTTACTGCCGAACTTCGTCGTTGAAAATTTCATATCTCCGTAAGCGACAGAGTCGCTCTGATTCTCATTTAATTTGTTTGTTCTAAAACTATTCTCGTCACTGTTATTCATGGTGAAATTATTCGTAGTGTCAGTCGTGACGTATTCAGTTGTGCTCGAACTTGTAATCCCTCTGTACTTTTGTTTCTCACCGCTTATATATGAAAAATCGATAATATTTGCAAAAGCAGTGGTCGTGCTCTTTCCATCGATTTGATCGCTCGTCGAATAAAGCATTGTTCCGTTGACAACGGGTGACAGTGTAACCTTCGTCGAAGGGACATTATTACGCATTGTATCAAAATCGTCGTTTTTGACTTGGTTTGTTACGTTCGAACTCGCAATTGTAGTTCGTTTAATTTCGACCGTGCTATTCGATTCTTCGTTAAACATGATAGTTGAAACTAAATTCATCGAAGTTTCGTCTGTGTCTCTCGAATCGGTTATCGTGCTATCGAGATCCTTCGAATCAACGTTAATAACGCTTTCGTTTATAGACGACGTGGTTGGACTGCTGTGGAAATGTACATATCGATCGAAATAAAACAGAAAAGGAGCAAAAAGAAAGTTTCACTACTCGTGAGAAGAGAAAAAAGGAAGTCGTTCATCGTCGGTTAAACTTACAGTTTTTTCATACCAACCTGCTCGTACTTGGAGATCCAGATCGCACAACGTCGAAACGTTCTTCCATTTGGAAATAGGCGATCACCAAGATTCTGTAAAGACGACCCAGTTTCTTTAACAAAATTGATTCCCTCGGTTGCGCTTTTTGCAGAAGCAGCAGTCTCGACCAGTCCGATTTCAAAGCGCCAAACGGCAAAGCTGTGACCGGACATTTGAATTCGCCGATCATCATATTGATCGTCGGCACATTCTCGAAATTGAACTCCGACAAGTAATCCTCGAGATCCGCGACGTCGAACTCCAAACAATCGTCCGGCGGCACGTGCGCATTTGCTTCTACGAGGAAATGCCCTTTTTCAATTTCACCTTGCACCAACGTGCGTCTACTACGTAAGTATACTTATGTATATTAAAAAAAAAAAAAAAAAAAAAAAAAAAAAAAA